TACGTGTACGTATACGTATACGTATACGTATAAATTTACACACAAATACACATACACACACACATACATACATATAAATATACATATACATGTACAAGTACATATACATATACATGTATTATAGGCATACTTACATATATATGTATATACATACATACAGACATACATACATATGCTGGTAGAGTCATATAGTATACACCTTTATACGACATGTTTCTTTGTTGGTATTCCGACAGACATACAGGTAGAGTACAAGAACGTGGTTACACATGTGTGTGTGTAGATATTCACACTTATGTACACATATTTACGTGCACAGAACCGGCATAAGATGTAAGATGTGTTTGTTTGTATGGAGTGTGTGTGTGTGAGTGTTTACATGTATATGTGTATACACATACACACACGCACACGCTCAGCAGACACGTGTTGATGCTTTCTGTATGTACGAAAGCCTAGACGTCCCAGACAGTATTTTTGCTGAAATACGTGCGTGAACCATCCACTCCCCTTATAGAGGCGCGAGCACAGTACATGGCTGCCATCTGAGGGCCATGGCATTGAAGAGACGATGCCGAGGACAAAAGAGCTAGAAGCTACTGCAGAGGGATCTTCCGATCAAAGCTACTAATAGCAGGAGGCGACAGGAGTCGGACTGGCTAGTTTTGCTTGGTCGGCTAAGCCTGCTGGGTCTGTGGATGTGCAGGGGAAACTCGGGTGTACGCATTTGCTCTTGTATTCATCATGGTAAATGGTAAATCTACATAATCACTCAGCAGTGATCTCGCTAATTCAAATCAGCATGAGAGTAGCTGTACTTTCACCAGCAGAAGTAGCACCGTTAGTAGTCGTCGTCGTCGAAACCGTCATATTAAATTATTGTAGTCAGAGCGGAACCGCAGCAGTAGTTGGCTAATACAAGTGCTAGTGGTATCGTTCGTAGTAGTCAAAGTAGTAGTAGTAGTAGTAGTAGTAGTAGCAGCAGCAGCAGCAGCAGCAGCAGCAGTTAGCGCATTCGATAGAAGTGGTGGTTCTGGCCGTCTCTGCTGAACTTCAGGATTGCTAGCAGCAAGTGCTCCAACAAGCATCCTGCCTTTGTAATTCACAAGCCAATACATCCAATCGACTGGTCTAGCCGCCCCATCCTATGCCCTGAAGCCAAGACGACACGTCAAACTCATGCTCCTCAACTTGGGGGACTTCGTACCTCGACCTTCCCTTTTGCCTGCAAGCTTCGCAATGTTTGCGAGGTACTGTCGAACTCGCCGAAGTGTTCGAGTTTCGACCCAGCCGTGGACCTACAAACTACCACTACCACCAGAGCCACCACCGGCACCGCCACCACGACAGCTACTACTACTAGTACTACTACTCCTACCTACCTACTACTGCTGCTGCTGCTACTGCTACTGCTACTGCTACTGCTACTACTACTACTACTACTACTACTACTAATGCTGCTACTGCTACTGTTACTCCTCCTATTCCTCCTCCTCCTCCTCC